CTTACACACCTTCGACCTAGAAACCTAGAAAATCTTAGAGTTACCTTTAGCACCTCCATAGAGAAAGAACATACAAAGTCTCGCCAAACTATTTAAGCCTTGATAAACATCCTCAAGAAGGAAAGAAATAAGATCAAAATATAATTAAGGACATAATTTAAGAGAACCACTATATTATACAAGCTAACATACTTATTACCTTGAGAATCAAGTCTTCTAAAAATGCCATTAAGGAAAGGATTTCAAGTTGATTATTTATGGGGTTTAACACCAACTAGAAGCCATGGTTACTTGATAGAAATAGACTTTTACTTGCGATAAAGGAATCCTTCCACCATTGCTAGATAATCATAATTAATATTAACCCTAATCAAGTTACTTTAGAAAAATTAAATCGAAGCCCAGAAGAAACCTTGAAATCCCTAAGAATATATTTAATAACACATAAATTTTCAACTGGTTCCTCTCCCAAAATCAAAGTGTCATCCACATATTAGAGATGGGAGACCACTAAATCAGAGGTTCCTACCTTGAAACCTGAAAAAGAGAAGAAAATCAATAATCATCCTAAAAAAACCTTATAAACCCTTAACAAATATGAGAAAGAGAAATATAGCTAACAGATCTCCTTGTTTGAACCCTTTTTGGATGTTAATCTCTTAGGTTAGACAACTATTAACTATGATTGTCAAGTTACCAATAAAAACACAAGTCTACATTCAAGCATGCCACCTATCACAAAAACCAAACATATCTAACATATAATTAAATAAGCTCTAACTAACTAAGTCTTAAGATTTTTCAAAGTCAACTTTGAATATGAGACAATCTTTTATATATTTTTTTAGTTAAACCAACAAGTTTATTAATCGCCACCACTTGATCAACTAAATGTATGCCTTAGATGAAAGTCGAAGAATTTGGATATATAATTTTCTCTATCACTATAGACAATTTAGAAACCAAAACTTTGACCACAAGTTTGTGTATACACACAAATAGGGAGATAAGTCTAAAATTACCTAAAAAAATATAGGGGAATTCTAACTTAGATTAAATCTTGTCAAAGTGAGAGAAATATATGTCATATAAATCCAATAAATAATAACAAATATAACTCAATGATAAAATAAATAATACCTCATGTTGGCCAGATATGAAAGTTCTCTTAGAAATACCAATGTTTCCCGAGACCAGTGTCAAAAATCATCTCCATGTCTCTCTAATTTCAGTCTCCACAACTATAAATGCCACTAGAAGATATTAATCATTAGAATATTTACATACTACAATTAAGAGATTTTCTTCATATTTATTGTTCAAATGACAACCATTCACTCATATGAAATGCATAAGTGTATTATTCACAATCCTTTTGCAACAATCAGAGCACATATAAAACCTACCAAATTTAGGTTTAAAAATACGTGAAGAATTTTCAAAATCAAAGCTTACATCAATTTTCAATACATGATTTGTGTAACCAAACATTGCAATACCATATCATGAAATTTTGCTTTTGGTGTTCCTCATTCCCCACCCACATTTTTCCTATCAATTTCTTTTGCTTTGAATGCTCTAGAAGCGCTAACAAGTACACTGTACCAACATAAAAAAACAACCTCATTTAATTTTACATTACTACATTTTTTAATCTTTTCAACTAACACCTTAGAAACTCTTCCAAACTTTATTTGTATTTGTTTCCCCAAAAAAACTTTCCATTGTATGTTTTTATATAAGAGTTTTGATTATGAAAATGAGAGTCCTAAGCACCTTTCTAACTTACACATTACAAATACAAATATCCTTAAATTTACAAAAACTCGAACCTTAAAAATCATTTTTTTACTTCCCTCTCATTAAGAACATTGAGTTTAAGAACAACATCACTGGATTTCCTACGTGATAAAAATTCCATACTAATAATGAACCTAGTCTTTTTTCAAGTTTTCTTCCTCTTAGAAAACTCCAGGGCATTGTCATTTAAACTGTTTTTTTCTGGATATTTATATAATGATAGGTTATTAGGTTTCCACTATACTTTGCCACTTTTAGTAATCATGTGTAATTCATTTACATGGCCAAGAGCCTTGAATTATCTCCAATATATAATAAAAGAAGCTCCAATTGAATGAGTCTTAAGCTGTTTCAAAGTCTACTTTGAAGATGAGGCAATCTTTTTTATATTTTTTTAAAGAAAAATCAACAAGTTTATATGCATTTGATGAAAGTCAACAAATTTGAAGATATAGTTTTCTCCATCATCATAAACAATTTAGAAGCCAATACTTTGGCCACAAGTTTCTACAAATAACCTACCAGGGAGATAAGTATAAAGTGCCCTAAAAATATAGGGGAGTTCCACCTTAGGGATCTATGAAACAAAGAAAGAAGATACAAAGCGAGGTAAATTAGTCGTAGCATAAAATTGATCAAACATCACACCACATATGACCTACGAAGCTATCAAAATCTCTGGAGGAAAGAGAAATTAAATCCACAAGATACATGATTTTTATTTTCTTCTACTTAGGTGATTACAAAAGTAAAATTTCAAAGAAATAAAAGCGAAACAATGCCAAATGGAACATCGAGAGGGATTGTCCGAAAGTCAAAATCATATAGAGTTAGCCTATGCAAAGACGTTTCCAAAAAATGATTGGTAAAAAATTCTAACAACATTCTTCTGCATCTCATTAAGCTTATCCACTCAAACATTGGCTACACACAAGGCCAATATGACATTTATTCTAATCTCTTCACATAGGCGTGGAAACACCCAGAGTTTGCATCTGCTTCTTTAAGTTACTTATCCTCAAAGCTTTGGAAAAATTAAGAATGTTTTGATCTAAGATAAACTAAAGATTGACAATGTGCGTATTTCTTGAAACCACCTCATATCCTAGAAGATGCCCCTTATATTCTTTAAGATCAATGATCTTAGTGTTCTATATAAGCATACCAATCCTTAATTTCAGAGACCCAAAAACTTATTTACCTAATATCTTTTTTTTGGGAAAAAAATGCTAGGAGCCCAAGAAAATATATTAATGAAAAAAGGTACAAAAATGAAGGAGACTAGACCAAGACCCCATGGATTAGTAATATCTAAAATTAGGCAAGTCTTGTAAGTTCTTATTATAGACATTATTTATTTTAGAATGACCGTGATTCTACCAAGTATAATTCTTAGATGTTAGACCTAAACTAGTAAGATATTTGCACATTGATTATCCTCCCTATATACGTAGGTAGCCAAAGAAGAAATTGACTTGATACCAAGAAGACAATTGTTCCACATATTCCTAATCTTCCAAGGAACCAAAGATGATTTAGTAAAAGGGTGTATTACAAACATATAATTCGTTTCTAACCAAAAAGAGGTAATAACATGCTCCATGACAAGAATGCCCCCCATGATATCAACAAAGGGGTTTAAGCTTCTATTCAAGAACAAAGACTTTCCAACCAATTATAAAAAGATAATTGACATAACTACTCAGAGCCGCGTCAAAAAATGATTATTTAACCTAAAAGGTTTGAACATCAAAGCTAATTATAATAACAAAAAAACTAACAAACAATGACCAGAACCATCCATTAGTAACACTTATAAGTTCCATCATCAATCAAAGACTAAAATCAAATCAAGATGACTAATCGAGTAACAGTCCTACTCCTGCACATGCAAAGGCAGATCCTATGTGCAACAATCAATGTCATTAATAAAGTTGCACATCATTCATCCATAATTGGTAGATCCATATGTCAAATCAATTAAAATTCGACAACATGACCAATCTTAAAAAACATATTTCTTTTGTTTCCTTTCTCTTTATAACATATTTTTATATACATAATAAATATTATACAAAAGTTAAATACAAAGATGCAATAAACTGCACCACTATCCTTTTTAGTTGACAAAACTAATTCCTTAAAAATTTCTTGTTATATTAATTAAAAATTGAAATGAACTAACCCATCTAATAACGTTTCACAATATTATTTTCTTTTCTAGTTTTCACCACTAGTATCCGATCTATTGAACCGATTTTAGTATCATATCTATTGGACTGACTAATCTAATTTAGGATCAGTTTTGACATCAAGTAAATTTAGCTCCTCTCGATCATAATTACTATTGGTTTGTAACATTATTAACCATAATAAATTTGACAATAAATTAAACCAATCCTCTTAAATAATGTTTCATAATATTATTTATTAAAATTTTAATATGAATTAAAGCTAAAAGTTTACGTAATTATAAATATCAAAATATATTTAACACATATAATAATAATAATGATGTGAAACACACAAATAATCAATAAAATTAAAGTTAATGGTAGGTATCTACACATATTTAGCCCTTATAATAATGATGTGAAACACATAAATAATTAATAAATTTATTTTATTAAAAATATTATGTCTTCTAAATCTAATTATTTGTATTTTGCTAATAAAAAAAAAAAGAAAATAGACGATAGACTGAGTGTAACAAATTATGTTTATGTATTATGCTAAGTCATATTAAAAATTTTAAATTATTGATATGACATGACATATATATTTTTATTAGATTATTTATAATGATTTATATATTTAATATTATCTCTTTTCATTTTTTACACCACACATCATTATTTATCTTTTCCACCTAATAATTCAATAAACATTCAATTTTTATTCTTTACAGTTGTTTTGTTTAATAAAATTCAACACCTTACCCCACCACTTTTATTTTATATTCTTATTTTCTTTTATATTTTTGATATTGAAAAATCAATTTTAATACATCTCATTAACTCATAAAAAATAATTTACGCCAAAGTAAAAATTTAAACAGATTTATTATTTAAAACAAAATTTGAAAAGTAGGACCCACAAGAATCAGAGAAAAGCATGGAAACTGAAATGCTATCTTATCCTTCCCGGATAACAATATGACTTGAACTCAAACCCCGGCAATCCAAAAAAGCAAAAACAAAATGGCATTCTCATCTTCCTTGTGGTCTTCTCTCTTCATTCCAAATCCCAACAGAAATAACCGTTTCTCCACATTTTCTCCCGCCACTCCCAAACTCTCAACAACCACATTCGCCATCCCTCCCCTCTCAACCGCCACCGCCGCCGACGTCACCGGCGCAATCGACGGCACAACAATCGCCGTCGTAAGCGGAGGCTTCGTCGCCGGTCTCACCGCGCTACTCTCCCTAACAGACCCCGAGCGCCGGCGGCGCGAACAGGCGGAGGAAGTTGGCGGAGACGATAAGGAAGTTGTGAAGGAGTATTTTAATAATAATGGATTTCAACGGTGGAAGAAGATTTATGGAGATACTGATGATGTTAATAGAGTTCAGAGGGATATTAGGTTGGGGCATTCGAAGACGGTGGAGAATGCGCTGCAGATGCTGAAGGAGGAAGGTTCGCTTGAAGGTGTTTCTATTTGTGATGCTGGATGTGGGACTGGTTCTCTGTCGATTCCGTTGGCTAAGGAAGGGGCTGTTGTGTGTGCTAGTGATATTTCTGCTGCTATGGTCGCTGAAGCCGAGAAACAGGTTGCTTAATTTGTAGCTTTGAAATTCTCGATTTATGATTTGAGAAAGTTTTTAGCATGTTTGGTTTGGTTTTTGGAAGAGCCAAAAGCAATTCTAGAAATGTAGAATTGTTTATGAATGGTATTGAGGTGTTTGGTTTTTTTATAGTTGAATTGATTCTGCCTTATTGATTCTACTTGAAGTTAGAATTTGCCGCCTCTGAGTTTAAACGTGATTTTTACACTGGAATTTGTTGTTCAACTCACTTTTGCATTAATGTATTCAAACATAAATCAATTCTGTTAAATTCAATTTTGTTAAAATCAATTCTACCATATTTATTTTTTTTCAAAATCAATTTTGTCCACTGCCAATCCAAACACACACATAGTGTGCGTGGTTCTGCATTGACGAGAACTGATTCTAAGTGAATTGACTTTGTAGAGTTGATTTTGGTTAAAAGTCATTTGAATGTAAAATAATTTTTGTTTGGATACGTTTATTGTAAAAGTGATTCTAGCTGCACAGTTAGGACAATAATCATGTACCCGCTGGCTAGAGTTAGCATATGTTTGGATTTGGAGCAAACTGCTGCTGTGACACCTTGCCGTAGCCCAAAATCTTCATTTCTTAGCTTCATAATATTCGTGGTAAAAATGCTTTGGGACACGAGATTTTCTACTGCACCTACGATCCAAACACATGCTTAAACCCCGGTTATGAGCTCGAAAGGCAAAAGAGCTTAACATAAGAATAGGGCTGGGAACGGGATGGGGTGTTTTGAATTGTCTAACCAAAGTCAATTTCATTTGAAACTATGTTAATCAAAAGCATAATCAAAACACAAACTAGTATGTTAAGTGTGTTTTTTCACTCTGCAGGCTAAAGAACAACTTGCGTCATCTGTGATGCCAAAGTTTGTGGTGAGTGACTTAGAGAGTTTGGATGGATTGTACGATACAGTGGTGTGCCTCGATGTTATGATTCATTACCCTCAGAGTAAAGCGGATGGGATGATTGCTCATCTTGCTTCTTTGGCAGAAAAGCGATTGGTTCTGAGCTTTGCACCTAAGACATTTTATTATGATGCACTGAAGAGGGTTGGAGAGTTGTTCCCTGGGCCTTCCAAGGCAACCAGGGCATATCTTCATTCTGAAGCAGATGTTGAAAGGGCATTGCGCAAGGTTGGGTGGACGATAAAGAAGAGAGGCTTAATTGCTACTCAATTTTACTTTGCCAAGCTTATCGAGGCTGTTCCTATGTAGCAAGGCTAGAGGTTTCAGAGGTAAGTTTTGCATCATTAGAGGAAATTCCTAATGTATATTGTAAGCCATTTTTGTGTTTTTTTCTGTATGCTATATTATCCTATGATTCTCTGGATATGTATATTTAGTTTCGGAGAAAGAATTAAAATTTGAAACTAGATGTCAACTGATGCATCAATTTAATGTTATCTTGCTACTCACCTCGGGTGATGACTTTTCTTCCTTTTATTGTCCCTGCATGTCCTAAATTTTTTTTGGTGCTTTCACATTTCTGTAATATGCAGGACTAGAGAAGTATTATAACTAAAACCACTATAGTTTTCTAGTAAGCCGGACTTTGGGGAAAAAAGAATAGAGGATGATGCAAGCCGGATCAGGAATTGAAAGAATAAACATCAATTTCATAAGAACAAATGTATATGAATGAAGAGAAGTTTTCACCAAAATAAAACAATATGTGGCAAAAAAAAAAAACTAGTTTAAGGGAATAACTGATAACAATAAATTCAAGTGCCAAATTTAACAGTGATTGAAAGATTGATCCTTGTCCACAGATACTATATCTGATGCCCCTGAAGAATACTTCATTTTCTTCCGAATTCTTTTACAGCTTGTCAGCAATTTTTGTGATAGCATCTGTAAGCCTGCCGAGGGCTGAAACTAAGCTGTCTGTTTGCTGCTTCTGCTGGTCTCTGGCCAATTTGGTATTGATGTTCTGAGCTCCAAGATGGGCTTTCAATATGTTGCTATTCCTTCTTAGCACTTTGATGACATCTTCAGTAAAATCTGCGGCGTCTTCAGAATTATCTGGTGATGGTCTCTTTCTTTTGTACCCCTCATTGAACATAGCTTCTCTCTGATAACCTGAATCAATATTATTTCTAATGAGATTTCTAGAAAAAAAGGAAACAAATAGATGGTACAAAATATAACCAATAACACTGAAATGTGTGTTTGTTTCGAAAAACATCTTGTTTATGTTTCATTTATAATAACAAGACCGTCTCATATGGGTTGTCAATTGTGGATAGAGAAAGAAAAGCAGATTGTTAAATTTCCTATGCAATAGTGCCATGGCGCCAATATAACAGCTATTTGACAACATTGTGTACTAAATAGCATATAACATTTCACGGAACGAACAATAGCTAACTAACTGTTTATCCAAATTCCACTATACTATAGCGCTGCTATAGTGCCTATTTAAGAACATTTTTGTCTTTGAAGATTTATTACAAGACTATCTTTCATGTTTAGAGTTGTCAATAGAAAATAAATAAAGAAAGAATTGTTAAAATTCTGCCATACAATAACAATATAACACTAATATAACAACTATTTAACAACATTTTGAACTATATAGTGTATCGAGGTGTATCATGGAACACCACTGCACTATAAGTGGCGGTGGCTATTTAAGAACATTGCTCATGTTTACTTCATTTTTGTCTTTAAAGATTTGGACAAATAGGTGGTACCAAATAAAACCAATGCTATAGTGCCGTTATAGCGGGTATTTGACAACATTTTGCCGTTTGTCCAAATTCCGCTACACTATAGCAGCATAGTGCTGCTACAGTGGTTATTTAACAACATTGCTCGTGTTCACTTCATTTTTGTCTTTAATGATTTGAACATGGATAGGTGAAAATTACAATTAAAAAAAAAGAAATAGAATGAAAATTACAATTTAAAAAAAAAAAAGAAATAGAATGAAAACAACGGCTGTTCTGCAATTAAAAGTTCTCAAATCAAACAGTTCCCATGGAAATAGGGGAACATCTTGTTTATTTTTGTAGATACATAAAAAGGGGACAGTGTGATATAAAAATATGCTAACCAAACCTTACTGAAACCACTAAAATTGCATGATTTGTAATATCACAGGTCAAACTAAACAATTCAAACAGTTTAAAAGATCGAGATTAAGATTACCTGGATCGAAGCTCCCTTGGGGAAATGGCTGTTGCTGTCTCACTGCATATCAGTACAAAGCAACAAGAAAATAATCGATCAATAATGATAATCTTATATGATATGAGCATATTTAACCTTAGTACTGATAATGCACAACAAAGAAACCTACTGTAATATAAATTTATGAAACTTAAAATGAACATAAAGACATGTCGAGAAATTGTTACCTGCTGAACTAGGCAGTAGGATTGATGGAGGTGTCAATTTGAAACTCCCTGTAACGCTGGTTTTCTTAGGATTCGGTGTTTTGAATGGACTCATAACCATATTTCCGTTCGCGTTTGTTTCCATGATGTTTTCCTCCTCTGTGCTCCAACCCATTTTCTCACTATCAGCAATGGCCTCATCCTTCTCCTCTTCATTCTCATCCTCTTTATTACCCTGCTCTAATGCCAACACCGCTGCAGCAGCCGCACCTTCAACTTGATCGCCATTCTCCTCTCTCGGCGCCATTTTGACAAGCGACAGTGGAAAAGCAGCAGCAGTGCAAACTCCTCCATCCAGCACATTGTACACAACAGCATCAAAGAAACCCGGCAACTTATTCTCTTTCCTCACATCATTCCTCATTATCCAAAACGACTCAGCCTCGTCCTTCACATTCGTCTCCCATTTCTTGATCTTCCTGAAATCAGTCAGAAGATTCCCCCATCTCTTCCTACACTGAACAGCTCCTCTCTTGACACCATGCTGCTGACACAACGACGAAACCAAATCCCATTTCGGGTCGGTTTGAACCAGCCCCGACGTCGATGATCGGTATCTGCAAACTTGATCTCCATTCTCAATCACTTTCTTTGCCTCAATCAAAACAAGTGTCTCCTGTCTTGTCCATCTAGGATGTCTGGTGGCTTTGATTCTTTCACTGGTTTTCGGTTCAGCTTCTTCAGGTTGTTTTCCAGCTGGTGCAGTTGGAGACTCAGCACTACTACCTTCACAAGCTTTCTCTGAATTTGGCTCACACATCTCTGACATTCTCCCTAAACTTTGAGAAATGAGAATGAGATACTTTCATTCATTCATATACTCATATATAATAAAAAATAATCTGCTTTTTTCTTAAAGTGAATTAACTTCCAAACTAGGATGCAATGATTTTCGTGTAGGTAACTTATTTTCCACAAGTGATTATTTTCCAAATATTTTTACTCATTTACATAAGGTACCCTCTCCTTCCAACTAAGGAATTATTTCCAATATAGACCAATTTAGACCAAAAAACAGTGTTTAGTTTAAGTCAAATGACCCTCTTAAGGGTCATTTGAAAAAATTTACAGTTAAGAAAATTTACATTTTTATAGTATAAAGTATTAACCATACAAATAATTTTTTTAAAAACCATTTCTATCTATTTAACAACTTTCTTATTTTTCTTTTTTCTTTTAAATATATTTTTCCTAGAAAAGAAAAGAATCGGATTTTCAAGAATCAGTATAAGTAAAGTGATATCTTAAAACTTTTATTGATAGGATAATAGAACTTAAATTAGAACGATGCATATAGACATAGTGATCATGGTAGAGGATAAAAACGGTCTACTATAATAATAAATTGTCACAATTTTGGTAATATTGAAAGTAAAAGCATATCTCACTTAAAAGGCTAAAATTTTATAAAGAATCGTCATAAAAATGCCAATGATATTTCTCATTTTTTTCATTAAATTATGAATAAGAACATTGAATTAATAATAAAAGAATAGTATTCCTCTAGAAAAATAAATATCTTCACAAATATTTTTTTTTAAAATTATTTGATCTATATTTACTAGAAACATTGCACATTCTTCTTTAATCCATTGAATTGTGTACTCCTACATAAATTTGTTATAATTTATAATTTCTAATATTAAAATTTTTTGTTTTTTAATAGTTTAATGATTATAATAAGATTTATACAAACAAATCCACAAATGTTAAAAAACAATAAACAATAGTCATTTATAACTGTTACATATGATATTTGAATTTTATTTTTAATTATAAAGTCTAACTTTTATTATTGAAATAAAATATTTATAAAAAAATTGTTCTAAAATAAATGAATATTTTAATTTTCAACACAATATTACATTATTTTTTGATTGTATTAAGTCAAGATGAGTTATGAGTCAAGATTCATTATACTAGGTGTCAAACTTATGACACTCATATTTTTTAACAACTCTTTTAATAACTCTTTGTAAAATATATATTAAATAAATTTGATATAAAAAATTAATTGATACTAAGTGTCACGATCCTCTTTGAAAAGGTGTAAGACAGTCTATCGTATATAATCTCAAAAATTTTAAAATTAATTTATAATTAAATATACTTTTAAAAATATTTATCAATATTTATCAGATTAAATCATAATTATATAAATTTTTTAATTATTTTATTTTTGTTAATTTGTGACTAATCTATGCATGACTTTCAAAAACCAAAAACTTGATACGACTAGATGTCAAACTTATCACAGTTATATTTTTCAATAACTCTTTGTAAAATATATATTAAAAAATTTGATATGGTTAGATGTCAAACTTATCACAGTTATATTTTTCAATAACTCTTTGTAAAATATATATTAAATTGCAAGATATTATCAAATAGCTAAAGTCTATAAAATTATTTGACATTCTATCATCAACTTATTTTATTGATTAATAAATTATTTAAAATATATGTAAATATCAACTATTAGAACACATGACAACTATTTTGTTTGAAATTTTACATACATGATCATATCATGATAATATTAGATAATTTAAAAGGTGAATTAGTCTAATTTAATTTATACAAATAATTATTAAAGGTGTAAGTATGCTAAATTTTGTTGGAATTAATTTATATTTTAAGAATATTTAAGAATATTTTTTTATATCTTTGTTAAAGGGTATTTTAGTATTTTATTATACCTTAATTTTGTGTATAAATAACCTAGCAGTAGGTAGGTCATTGTAATTCATTGTAAATTCATTATTCTTTATTCTGTAGCCGTTATTAGATATATTTTTTTTGCCTTAAATTCTCTCC